TTTTTTTTCGGGGTGGTGGGATGTACACCAAAACACTCAGGAATATATAATCATTTAAACAACTGCATTCTGCAAACCTGCCTCCTGGCTGCCAGCACACAGTCTTTCTCTTTCCATGAGTCTAGAGTCCTCAGTTGCTCTTATCTCTCCATGTCCTCATCTCTGCCTCCATCTCTGGATAGGGTTCCGGAAGCATGAGTTTTTATAAGAGAAAGAACAAAGAGGTTTATGGGAGAAAATGCTTCAGCTGAGGGCAGAAAAGCAGAGTCTGGAGTTGCTTGGAGCAGATGTCATGCTGGTTAAATAGGATGGCTGACAGAGATCCAGGGCCCACGAGATCCACCACCCAGCCTTATGCATATGAATGGGGTTAGTCTAAGGGTTTAAAAGAAAATATTGAACTTGAGGGATTTTAACCGGTTTATGTCTTTGACCGCCTTTTGAATATTGATTTCTCTTATCAATGATTCTAAGATGGACTCCTGGTGTGGCGCTTGGGAGATCAGCACTGGGCTGAGAACCACAAGGTCACCAGCTCCTTGGAAACTCTGTACAGTGATGTTATGAGTCAGAATCGACTCCATGGCACTTATTAACACCAAGCTGTAAAATAAAAACAGATAACTAGAACAGTCTCTTTGGTAAATGAGAGTACAGTGGCTGAAGAACAAGTAGGGAAGGGCTAAGTCTGTTCCCCAGGAAAGGTGGCATTTTCATCTCTGGGAGCTAGTCAGCACAGTTCCAAGACCTGGAAGCACGAGCAAGTGTGGCATAGTTACCAGGAAATTGCAAGTAGTTAATTAGTGCTTGAGGGTAAGTGGGATTGTGGAGGTAGGAGAGGCAGATGAGCTTAGACAGGGGCCAAATTATGTAGTCTTGCATTTGGATTTCCTCTGAGAGGGAACAGAAAGCTAATGTCACTTGGTTTTAGCCCAGGGAATGACATGAGGAAGCTTGGTTCAGCCAGTGTTGTGTTTACTATACTGTACAAAACAAGACAAGGAGAGGAGAAACAGAGAGGAGAATTGCCATGTGCTGCAATAGAGCTGGATGAGTGGGACAGAGGTCAGGGGAAGACTCCAGAGGACAACTGTACTTTTATTTTTCCCTTTGGGTAACATGATCTTTAAACCTGAATTTCATTATCTAGGAGTTTTTTTTGTTCTCAGTCCATTCTACACTGAAGTAGCATAATAGGCCAGGTGCCTTGGACTTTTCAGAAGTATATCAAATCTACCATCTATTCACTTACTGTGAAATTATAAGCTATCGCTATCTGCAACATGCTTCACCTATACTTCAAATTCTTGCCATAGAGTGTGTACAACTGAATGAAACGCTGCCTTGATTTGCATGTTGTCCAGTTCTCTAATACTGACAATGAGAAATTACAATCACAGAGGAGTGTTTTAAGTATGGGTATTTGACTAGGACTCTGGATTTTATTCTTAAATTAAATTGGACCATTAGAAAGCCGCATTCTTGGGCATATCTACCTGGATTTGATCTTGAGTTACACATTGGTGTCACTATCTGGGCTTTTCATCAGGGACTCTCACTGTAAGAAACAACCCATGTATGAACCCTGTTACTGTAACTGGTCAGATATTCCTTTTATAACTAAATAGCAGTTTAGTTATGAAAGGCTTTGTTACCCTTAAATAACTGGCAGGTTTCCTTAACAATGTGAACTGTGTCTCCTCTTTTTATCAGAATTCCAGAAGCTGAGCCAAATCCATGGTCCGCTTTTAGAAATTGGAAAGAATTTTATCTGATTTGCAGATCAGAAGTCTAATATAGCTTCCATCTTTTTTTTACAATCTTTTCTTTTTTTTTAAGGTTTTTATTATGAGTTATGTGAGTTTACATGGGAGAACACCAGCTTTACATTCATCCTATTGTATTTCATTTTATTGCAATGTTTACAGTCCCATCCATGCATCATCAAACAACCAAAGGGTACACCCTACAGGCCTGCCCCCTGGCCATCAGCACACAACCCCTCTCCCTCCCTGAGTGCAGAGTCCCCAGCTACTCCATCTGCCCACATCATCGTCTCTGCCTCCATATCTGGCATCACTACTTCTCTGGGTAGGGTCCCGCACTCTGGTCTTCTCACTTGATGGTCCCAG